AAAAGGAAGTACGAAGACATAAAGAGCACAGCAATGCAGGTAGACTGACACCAAAATCAAAGATCCAGCTGACGTAGTTACGCAGATAGACTTGAGGAACCTTTCAGACTGGCGTGGGGATTGACTGACTGCAGGTTATTCACAAAGAAAGATTTACTCCTTGTTGTCTTTTACCACATTGGCAGATAGGAGTTATGAACTGCACGTTTGGCATTAGAATCACACGTGTACACTGGCGGCAAATAATAAAAAAATATTTAAGGGTGTCTCGTAACTCATAATTTACCAATTTACGCAACAACTACAAAAAAGCCTAGTGAGATAAAGAAAAGTCACACCCCACAAAATTTAGCGATCTACGCCAGAACGCCTACGTCATTAACGAAAGACTACTATGGTAAACGTGAGCCTTAGTTAAATACCCTTAAACACCTCGAGGCAGCTCCAAAATTGTAAAGTCACTGAATGAAAGTTGACTTGTCGTAAATCGGTCCTTTTTTTAGGTTGCATGTTTACTTCACAATCTTCTTCCATTAGCCCGACAAAACTTTAGCAAATAGGACGAGGTATGTTTCATGAATGTAAATTAGGCCTTCCTCAAACATTTTAGTCTCCATTCATCGAATCAAAAGGGACACTTGAGCCCAGCGATGAGGCCAGGTAAACGGTGCTTGGGTAAGGCAGTGGGGGTGTGAGTTCTGCGTGTGTGGAAGAGGGGGGGTGATATGTGTGTGGGGGGGGTGTATGTGGGTGTATGTGGGTGTGGGTGTGGGTGTATGTGTGTGTGTGTGTGTGAGAGAGAGAGAGAGAGAGAGAGAGAGAGAGAGAGAGAGAGAGAGAGAGAGAGAGAGAGAGAGAGAGAGAGAGAAGGAGATAGAGTGAGAGAAGAAGAAGAAGAAATAGAGAAAAAAATAATATGTGTACCTAGGTGTTTTTGTAAGTTTGTATGAAAAAGATGACGACATAGACGAACGAGATTGAAAGGGGGGCGGGGGTTGATAGGGAGTGTGGCCGGGAGGGAGGGTGCGAGGGAGAGAGAAAGACACATACAGAAATACAGATAGACAGACATACAGACCAACAGACAGACAGGCAGACAGACAGACAGACAGACAGACAGACATACAGACAGACAGACATACAGACAGACAGACAGACAGACAGACAGACAGACAGACAGACAGACAGACAGACA